ATAATAAGCTATTTAATTATTTTAAGAGATTAATTAAATAGCTTAATAGAAAAAAAGTTAGATAGAAATAATAGATATATTAAATTCTTAAATTAGCTAAAGATAAACTCTATAAATATTATTTTATAATAAATAATAAAAAGCTTAGTAATATCTATATAATTAGTACTATCTTAGTTTTTTAATATAAAGTTAAATTTTTTAAACTAAAAACTAAGATTATCTTTAGATAGATTATAGTATTTAATATTAATAAAATCTTAAAAATTAGTTTCTAAGTTACTAAATTAGTAATATTCTAAACTCTTAATTACTATCTAAAATAAAATAATCTTATTAAACTAATAAATTTAATATATTTTTAATAACTAATTCTTCTATCTTAAGCTCCTAGTCTAAAATAATATAGTATATTAAAAAAGATAAATTTCTATATATATCTTTATTAAAACTAGGGTTCTAAATAATTATTTAAAACCCTAATTCTAATCTATTAAGTTTCTATCTTTTTATCTTTATTAGAACTAGGATTTTAAGGCCTATCTTAGAACCCTAATTTTAATAAGGATATTAGTTCTAATCTATCTAAATATTATACTAATTATTATAATTTATCTTTTATCTAAATACTATTTTAATCTTATCTTATTAATTCTAGAAGGATTATTAGTATAAATTTCCTATATTTATAAGCCTTATTTATAATCTCTTTTTAATCTTAGCTATTAATACTAATATTAAGTAATTATTTAATTCTATATATAATATTTATTATTATTAATAAAGGATATTAAATATATCTATTATATAAGATCTAATAATATTTATATATATTACTAAATTTAAAGTTAAAAAGAAATAGCTTATATTTATTTAAGAGCTTTAGGAGTAGAATAAATTAGAAATTATATAGAAAGAAAAAAAGACTTAAAAGATTTATAAAAAGATTATACTAATTAGTAATAATAAAGAGAAGGATACTATAGATCTAATAATTATAGTTAATATATTTTATTAATTATAATAAAAAAATTAAAAAGTAATTATAAAGATAATTATAGCCTCTCGCGGATTTCTAGTAAGGTTTATAAATATCTATAAATATTTAATAATTATAAATTTTAAAATTAAAATTAATTAATATTTAAAATAATATTCTTTAGAATTATTTTTTAAGAATTATTCTCTTAATTACTATAAAAAATTATTTAACTAAAATAAATATAATACCTAAAAATATAGCTAAGAATAATATAATTTATAAAAATTATATAGTTAATAAAGTATCTACCTAAATAGATTAAATAGGTTAACCTATTAACGCCGCGGGACGGGTTAAAAAAATCTTGACCCGCCCACGGGTCAAGAGGTCTGACCCACGACCCGCCCATAGGCTGACCCCCGGGTCGACCTATATGGGTTATCCGCGGGTCTGTCTAGGTCTACTCTAGAAATATTAAAGGACAAGATTGCCCAAAATAATAGGACTCGGGATGGTGAAGAGAATCATGGCCGACTAGAGTAAGGATCTCAGGATGACACGCTTAATTAGGGGGCTGGTTGCTTTGCCTTGTCCAGCTCTAACCACTATATATAAATAGAAGGCCGAGGTGACCCCTTTATCGCCAGCGTCTTTTGAACCAAAATTTAGATATACCATAGATGCACCCGAACATATCTGAAATCCGTGAGTGTTGGCTTTTTTTCGATGCCAAGGTCGAGGTTTAATGTTCAAGTCCTCAGCATCCCATCTCTTAGGGCCGCAATTCTCAGGGCGCCTGTGTCTTGACTTGGCATAAATTCCGAATAAAGTAAAGATGGTCGATTTTTTTTTATTTGCCCCACGGCGGCGGCTGTTAACCACAAGACTCTACTTTGCTGCCACAATATTCGCCCCCTCTAGTGGCCCCAACAGGGGGCCAGGGACATATATTTTAGACGACTTATGAATAGCGAGTCAGGACTTGTGAGTATTTATTAGGGACGTCCCTCGCCCCCGGTCCGTAGATATAAACCCCTTAGCTCCGCTGTCGCTACCTTATATTTTTTTTTTCCAACCCTGATATCCCAAAACTATCTCGGACAATCGCAGCCATGAAAATTGCATTTATTATATATTACTGGCTACTTTTACCCTTTGTGGCAAGTCGAGTATTACTTGACACCCGTTCCCAGTGAGAAATCCCCAGTCTTAACGTTCCTTTAAGAGCTAACCGCGAGAAACATTTGCGAAACTGTGATAGTGACGATGTACCATCGGCGCATGTCCTGGAAGAAAGAGACACTGAGCTTGTTCGGGGCGATGTCTTCTACTATGATGACATCGACAAGGACTCTTCGACGATGAAACGATTCGAAACTTATACGAAACAACTGAAAAACCTCATAAAACAATTTGGCAAACTGCCAATTGATGATGTGTTCGAGATATGGTTCCATCCAAATGATCACTCTGCAGCCCAGAGAGCCTTCAATAACCTACGCGAGGCGATTAATCCAAGCTCAAAATCTATTCGTAAGCGAGCGAAAGAACCGAAATTATGGATCACCGGAAAGGACTGGTCTGGAGACTGCCGAAAAGGCTCTGCAGCCTATACTACTATTTACAAAGGTTCGGGTGAGGAACCTAGCTTCGCAAACAGTGCGTCAATGGAGAAAGGCGACTGTATTATGCATTTCTGCGAAGAAATGGCGGATATGACAGCCGAAATGGGAATACATGATTGTGACGGCGCCAAAACTGAAGACGACGGCCATTTCAGTACCTTGTTAGCTGAGAATACAACAAGCACAATGGCCCATGAACTATTGTTAGTAATACCTCTATACTGAGTGATAAGAGCTGCAAAGGGTTATTTTTACTTACTCGGTCTCTCTAGGCACTGTCCACATATCGGAGACAAAGCGATGAAAGCCTCTGGGTGGGAATTTCAAATACCTGAGATCCTGGAGTAGCTAAAGTCCCTATATACTAACCAAGAAACTAAAGTCTATCGTTAGGTATGACAAACAGCTCTCGCTCGACAAAACACCATTGGCCCGGAATGGAGGAGGTGTATGATCCATTCGACGCTTCGAGTAATGCTCAGTGCGAACCAGGGCTCGCTGTGCGGAACCCACAGAATTACGCCTACTACTTAATGGTAAGAACTATTTATTCTGAAGAACTATAGGCTACCTAACAAGTCGACGCAGAACCGATATTTCAACAAATTATGTTCATTCAAGCTCAAGCCACCAAAGGAGCTAACTGAGAACGAAAAAAAATGGATGAATATGATGATGTAAGTTAATTGCGAGGTCTCCTACACATCAGCGGGATCTGGATTTATTTTTTACGATCATGGAATGCTGATATTCAATTAGAGGGTCTTAATAGCAATTCTTTGTGAAGTGTTCATTTGATGAATACACTCATGACTTGAGCAGTCTGAGAGTTGAAGGTGTATACTAGAATCAGTGCCAGAAAATTGAATTTGATCCCTTGCGGGATGCAAAAGACCACAGACTGCCCACTGCCCGCTGTCCAGCTTCCTCATCCTCATGCATGCTATCGATGTAGATCATGAGTACTAGCTTCTTAGATCAGACGGATTTTGAATCTTTACCTTGAACTAACTTATCTTTCGTGATGACGGCCCCTAAGGTTACCGCCGCGCGATAGGAACGAGGGAGTTTCAAGTCGGTTCCTCTCGTATGCGCCTCGTCAAGGAAAACATAACACGCCCCTATCTGCCGCGCAAAGGGTAAGCTCTGCAGAGGCTTCACGCATCCATTTCGGTTAAGGACGCAAATCTCGTCCCTGTCATTCAAGAACATTATAGCCTGGATCTGCCCTCTCCTTCGGAAGCATTTTCAACCAGTGCTCTGCCACCTCCATATCGCTAAGCCCCAATATCTACGCGCCAACGTCGAGGATCACCTAGGATATTGGATCCAAAGCTACAACCATATCCGGCAAGTATTGGGCATCCGACACAAACGGCTTGTCTTGGTTTTGGTCAGGGATGAAAGCCGAGGAATTTTCCGAAAGCTTTTATGTTGTTTTAGCTCCCGTAGACTAAGCAGCTGGACGCTCAGCGGGAAGGATTTACGTGAATCATTCGTCCCGCTGAACCCAACTGTGGGATGCGTTTTGATCTCACCTAAATCCCAGCCCGAAGCGGACAGTTTGTCTGGGGACTCCTTCATCTCTTTGGGAAAGACAATGTGGGCCAGGAAATAGTCAATGGTGGCTTTGGATAATCGAAGACGGGGAAATATTTGTTCTACAATAATGCCGGTCGTCGAAATTGACCCCCACAAGTTGGTGGTGGGCGGGTGGAAGCATCGGCGCGTCTTTCATCCAAACTTGGTAATCGGTATCAGCCTAATCCGCTTTGACCAGGTAGCTGAATACCAGAGACATCGTCGTCGTCGATCCTAGCATAATAGTAATTTAGGGACGTCATAAAAATCACAACGTCAGGGTGACTGAACTCGGACCAGGGGGAAGGACGGTCTTTGGCCCGGTACAACACACAAAGTCTTGTCGGTGGATTTCTGTTTGGATCGGGCCCATAGTGAGCACGCCAGCGCTTTTGGCCAAGTCAAAATACCAGCACTCCTTACCGAACAGTCGTTCTCAGCTACGGCAATCCCCTCGGCTGCCAGATCATTTTTTTCAATACGTAGATAAGCCCGGCTTCCTGGATCTGCCTGGAAATCGGCAAGGAATTAGTATAACGGGGTCCAAAAGTCTGGTTACACCTTACTAATTTAGTAAACCCTATATTCTATCCCCTTTTTTCTTTTCTCTCTACTCTCTGCTCAACAAGGAGTCCTATATGGAGATCTCTATCATGGAAGCGCCCTTGTCCAACCGCCTGGTACACTTGACGAGTCCGCCACTAAAAAGGTACATGAGATATAGAGAGCCAGTTGCTCGAGGGTATCAAATAGTTGTATGAACTACTACCGTACCGTGAAATCCCAAATCTTTTTGCCCATACTATAGTAAATCACTTCCCCTGACTCCTCGCCATCTCTCTTATCTTCGTAACAATCCCCTCCTCATTCTTCGAATTTGGTAAAATACTCGCCGCATGAGCAAGGAACCCATCCCCGCTGTTGTTAACCTCGCGGTACTTGCCCTCCCAACTATAAATAACATCGCCATGCCGAGCGCGATCAACAAACAAAAACAACACACTGCGAGCAACAGCCTCAGCCGGCTGAGCCGTCACCCCCAGCGACTCGAGTATTGGCTTGGGGATCATCGCAGAATCCGTCCACGACGGCGCCACCGCATTGATCCGAATCTCGCCCTCGAGCTGGCTGACCATCCCGCGCAGCAGTCCCACCACCCCGTGCTTGCTTACGGTGTAGTCGCCGATACTAAAGATCTGGAACGAGGACGCGGACGCCGTCACGACGATACTGCTGCCCGTCTTGTGGTCGGCGGGGCGCTGGCTTGCAAGTTTCTTGATGTAATGCGCTGCCAGTCGCACGGTGTAGATCATCCCGACCAGGTTCACGTCGATGGTCCGCATGTTGGGCGGGGCGAGCTGCCCGGACTCGTCGAGCGTGTCGTCCAGGAAGTTGGTTGTTGGGGCGACGCCGGCGTTGACGAAGACGTGGTCAATGCGGTTGTAGACCTGCTCTGCTTCGATGAACATGGCCCGCACGCTTTCCCAGGTCGTTACGTCGACCTTGATGTATTTGAGTCTTTCGCTGTGCTCGAATTCTGTCTTGGGCGGGTTCACGTCGCCGATTAGCACGTGGGCGCCCAGGTTGAGACATAGCTGGGCTGTTGCTCTGCCGATGCCGGAGGAGCCACCTGGTATTTTGTCAGAATAGCAACTAGAACTAGGCTCTGTCCATGGATATCTCCATGGGCATCGATGACGTATCGGGCACACACCGGTGATCAGGACCACTTGGTCCCTGATATCCTGCAGGATATCATCGGGGATCTCGAGGTTAGCCGGCATGGTGAATGGAGTCGATTAGATGTGATTGCAAAAAGACCTTGATAGAACCAGGGCCGCTCAGTTATATCTGTGGTTGTCGCGAGTCATGTCCCACGTTGGAAGCCGGCAACCGATCCCCCTCCAATGCCGATCACCCGGTTTGAGACGATCAATTGCTCCACATCTTGGCCCCAAGTGGAGTATGAACAAGTGAGAGTCAGGTTGCGTATAGAACATAACGCTAGAAATGCAGAGCATAAGAAAGTGTCCTGGATCTGAACACAATGTTTCCATTCCAAATCAGCCCGGTTGTATTCTATTGTATACTATCCAAGATCCAGCCCAGTCAACAACAACACCTGTAATAGAAACAGCCCGATATTCAATTCAATTTACAGGCGCGACTTGCAGGACGCATTCAAATATCCCGTCATTTTCTCTCGCGCTTGCTCCGCTTGCCCTTGCACATCCAAGTCCCAGAGCCAGCGGAGACGCTCTTGAAAAGTCTTTCTCAGCTTGTCCTCGTCGTCACCGACCCCATCCAAGCACAGACAAAGAAGGCGTGCACCTTCTTTGCTACTCGTTACAACCCTCTGGCTGCGAGGCCGTCGAACTTGATCGTATGCCTTGAACGCCGCCACGGCATCGGGTATAGAGGTGACCCGGGAGTCACTGAGCAGCTCAGCCAGCACATGTGCATCTTCGATTGCTTGGCCTGCGCCCGCACCCTGGTGTGGCGTTGAAGCATGGGCCGCATCTCCGAGGATGGTAACCCTGCCCCTGCAGTAGGTCGAGATATGCGGGTGCTCGAAGAGGGCCCATTGCGAAGGATCAGGCATGCGCTAATAAAAAGAGTTGAGAATTTATTCTCTCAAGTCCGTGGGAACGCCAGAAATGAAAAAGAAAGACAGTCCACATACCTCAGCAAGAGCCTTTGCATATCGGCCCATCCCACTCGCATCTCTCCGTAAGTCTTCTTTGGTAGCGGGCCGAATCCAGTCCTCATAGTCCCATTCGTCTCTGAGGATATACAGCCCGGTGTTCACCTTCTCAGCCCGCATGATCGGATACGAGATAGCATACGCGCCGCGCCCAACATACAGCGTAGAGACTCGCGCACGCTGATCACCGACGGCCTCGACCATCTCGTCCATATCCAGCACAGCACGATAGCAGTACATACCGCTATAGCGCGGCTGGGTGAGTTGCGACTCGACAGGCAGCATGGCCTCCTTAACCCTGGACTTGATGCCATCACACCCAATAACCATATCAGCACGCGCAGAAGAGCCATCATCAAACCGTAACAGAATTCCACCATTACCATCATTTCCATCATCTTCAATTAGCGACTCGAGCCGCTTCCCGAAATGCACAATCTCTGACGGAACAAGGCTAACCAACGCCTCAAGAAAACTTGCCCTCCGCAACGTCGTCTGGCCCGACGGAAGCGCTTTCAGATTCAACAGCAACTCGCCCTCCTGTGCGCCCGTCGCCCAGACGATCTCGAACCATGTCTGGCGGAAGGACTCGTACCCGGGGCTGTCAGCGTGCGTGGTGATGAGCGCGTCGTAGATGTCGCGAATGTGTGGGTCGAGAAGGGGCATGGCGCGGTGGGCGGCTGGGCCGATGGAGAGGCCCAGTCCGACTTCTTTGAAGGCGGGTGCGGCTTCGTAGATTTGGACGCAGATGTTGCGGCGGAGCAGGCCGACTGCCAGTGCTAGCCCGCCGATTCCGCCGCCGATGATGGTTACTGTGAAGTTCTTTTGGGGGTCTGGCTTGTTCATTGTGTAGATTGTGGACTGTGGATATAGTGTCATAGATTGTGGTCTAATGAAGAGCAAGGAAATGGAATGAACATAGGAAAAGATATGAACAAGAGGTGTGAGGTGCTATTCCCTGCTAGCTTTGCGGGGGCGAGTCAGCTCGAGTTCAGCTCGAGTTCAGGCCAGCCATTGTCTCGTTTTTCTTTTCGTTAGGGTATCTGAAGAGGTGATATAGTTTTGTTTGGATATCCCAGGGACATGTTCGATGTGGATCACCGTGGATTAGCAGAACGGCCCGAGGCGAAGAGATCCATCGCTTGATAGACAGCCTGGGTCCACGTTGGATTTATGGGATGTTATTTGTCACAACCCCACGGCGGCACGGGATCGGCACTCCTCGTATGTCCCTTGCGTGCTATTCAGCTGTGTCGATCGTGGCCAGAACAAGAAATGCGTGTCTTTTTCCAAGAGATAATACCCAAGGTATACAGAGAGGATTTGACAAAGTATAGAGCACTACAATCCCAGAAATGCAAAGTTTGAAAACAATATTCATTCAAGGCCAAGTCTATGCCGTATAGAATAATAAGAAAAAAGAGTCAGAACTCAGAGATATGAGAGAAAAGAAGATCAGATCAGATCATAGGCGCCGTAACAATACGCTGCCCACGCTCCCACTTTGGTGGACCAAACGGGTCCTCGCGAAGATTGCTATCCGAGCGCTCCCAATCCGAGTCACTATCGAACCCGGCATGGGCATGAGGCTTCTCATCGCCGCGGATCGGCGACGATGAATCATCGTCATCCAAGGCGCGTCGGAAGCGCAGGAACTCCTGCGACTCGACGGTATGGATCGGGGACATAGTCCCCAGCTCCATGGAGCGCAGGGCTGCGCGCTGGATCTGGCGAATATCGTCGCGGAGGCCCGAGACTTGCGTTTCGAGGTTGCGGCGGGCGGTCTGCTCGCGCCGCAGGAGCATTACCAGTGCGCTGTACTGCTCGATCGAGACGCCGTGCAGGTCGGAGAGGGAGGTCGAGGAAGGAGCGGGGCGCAGGGAGCGCGAGGTCATGGTTTCGGGGCGGATCGTGCTCGTGCTGGTCGGGCGGTTGGGGAGAGGGTTGGCTAGTGGGCTGGGGGATTCGTCGCGGTCGGCGGCACCCAGGAAGGTGGAGGGTTTGGCGCGGATATGGGGGGAGAATGAGTCGAAGGAAGGGACGTGTTTCTGGCGCGAGGACCGGCCGGGGGGTGCGGTATCGCTGGGACTCGATTGCATCCGGGCAATGGCGAATTCCAGATCGATCATCTTCACCTCCAGGGTTGTTAACCGTTGCTCGAGGGTTACGCTGTCGTCTTGTTGCATCGTGTTGACCAGATTGCCAACATTCGGCGGCAGACTGACTTGCTCCGCGTGCTGATCCGACTCGGGGATAGATGGCTCAGCTGATCCGCGCGTGACGCTGGTGACGGTCGTTCCCGTCGAGGGACGGCCTGATTGCCCGCTCAAAGAGCTCTCCTCGAACGGCGAGGATTTGGAGCCGGGGGCCGAGGTCGTGCGCGCGGGCCAGGGAGACGGTGAATCATGCTGCTCGTTTGCGAGACGATGCAGGGCATCGGTGCTTCTTGACCGTCTGCGAGCATGTAGCATATTGATCCTCCGTTCTTGGTCCGGCATATGCGGTCTGTCTTCCTGGGGATCGGATATAGCACTAGACGCCACCCCATATCTAGATTCGTCGTCGGAAAAGATCACACTGGGAAGAGTCGCCCGTCGTCGGCGCGACGGCATCCCACTCGAGGCCATCGATCCAGGACCGGCGGTGGTAGGCGAGAGATGATTGTTGGCCAGATGCAGGTTCTCCACGGAGAGGGGACTACTTCGCTTGGAGTCCGACGGTGTCGGTACAGCCAAGAAAGATTTGCCTTCTCCCGTAGGGCCAGACTGCCTCGCGGTTTGGGTATCATAAAAGGACTCGTGGGGGTTCTCCTCCAGGCCATCCGTCTGGCTCTGTCTTTTCCGGTTGAAGATCTTGCGCATGACCGTCTTCAGCGTGCTCCCGGTGCGGCGGTGGGCGAGCGGCGGCTGGGTCTGGAAATTGATGGGCGGTAATGCCGTGTCATAGTTACTGGTCTCGGCAGAGAACGAGGCCGGGTTGGAGGCGGAGCGTTCTCCGCGGGTGGACGAGGATCGCTGCCGATGGCTTCCAATCGACTCGCTACCAGCGCTGGCAATCGACCGTGTGGCGTCTCTCGGCATCGCTGTGATCGGAGGGCGATTTGCTCACAGCGGGTCAGGGAATGGAAACACTCGACATGTATGAACTCTGTACGGAATGTAGGTCGATGATCATTACAAAAAATATCCGTCGCGGCACATGGGGGTATAAATCGTCGCAGATAAGACTCCGTGGAGAAACTGTCGAAAAAATGGGGGAAAAAGGGAAACAGAGGGTATCAGTTGGAGACTCGTTCAACGGATCTCAGTCGGATCGAATCACGATCAGGGGATCGAAGTTAATCAACTCGAGCTATAAGGAAAAGCTATCAAACGGTTAGTCCATGAAAGAACACGAAAAGTGGATTGCAAACGAGAGGCTGAACCTACAGTGTGGCAGTGAATCAGGATCATTATTGCAAAATCAACAAATCCCACGGGACGGCGTTTGCCTTCAAATTCAAGTTGTGGAGAAGAAAGGAAGAAAAAGAGAGAAGAGAAGGAAAATCAGAAGAAAAGCAAGAAGGCAGTTAGAAACGAGTGTGGGAGGGAGAAAAGAAGAGAAATGGAGAGAGAGAAGAAATAAAGGAGAGAGAGAGAGAGAGAGAGAGAGAAGCTCGAGCTTGGAGATTAGGAGAGAGCTGTTCCCCACACCCTTTTCTTCACGCCACAGCCGAAAAGTATGGGAACGGTGGAGGGAGAGAGACGTTGAGACTTAAGGAGAAGATGCAATATATTTAATCTATTTAATATAGGCCGAGGACAGACCCAGCCCTAGTTAGATATATGTCTACGGGGGCCATCTTCAACTAAAATCCAGATATGCAGCAGGGCATTGGGCGACGTCGAGTTGTGTGCCAATTCACTGTCGGGCGTACGAAAGAAAAGAAAAAGAAAAAAGAAAAAAAAAAAAAAAAAAAAAAAACAGGCAGTCTGAAACACACCACATGGCACCAGAACACCGCACGGACCGGTCAGACAGCTGGCACGTCAAGTGGTCTGTTTAGTGTCGTTTTAGTGTGTGTTTAGTCCCGAAGGATGATTGGCCCAGACCGAATCCCACGCTTTCTTAGGCAATGCATCTCCGACTCCCCGACTCCGACATGGTGATCCTCCCTATGAAACAGCTTATCTACCCCCCCTGGCTTGCTGTGATTCACCGCTGAAGAGTTTCTTCCCATGCACATTCGATTACTTTTGCCTACGAGAGGGGTTGTCGCGGCACTGGCTGCGGTGTGCTGCATATGACCTACAACCGTGCGCGACACGAAGCCCTAACTGGATCTCCCAAATGGCGATCGGCAATTTATGGAGCTTGGAAACGGCCCTCTCCATTGGCTTTCTTTTCTTTTTCTTCATTTCCCGTTAGAATAACCTTTGAGCCCACCGCCCATCACCTTGGATTCTCTTGGATTAGAGGAGATTTGCGGCATCGGGGTATCGCAAGTCGGAATTCTCCTCCAAATAGGACATCCAGTGCTTCAGGAAACTACTGCCGCTGTCGAATCAATGGCGGTTAGTTCAAGTTGCATAAGAACGCATGAGACCAAGCACCCGAATCCTGTACTTACCGACTAATCGTCTCCGAGTCCCCGCAAATGCACAGATGTCGCTTGGGGCGCGTCATCGCCACTAAGCATAGTCAGTTCTCCCCTTCTAGATTCAGGCACACCACAAAAATTTGAAAACAAAAGGATCGAAAACAAAAAAAAAAAAACATACCATTCAGTCGACGTTTCTCGCCAAGGAACCCCACTTCGTGTTCGGCATTACTGCGCACCAGACTCACCACAACAGCTTCCTTCTCGCGACCCTGGAATCCATCGACGCTGCCGAGTTCAAGGCCTGGGTATTTCTCTCGTAGTATCTGAGACAGAAGAGCGAGCTGCCCATTGTAAGGGGTGATCACGGCAATGTGCTCAGGTTTGACCCCTGCCTCAACCAACTTGTCCAAATGCCGGGCTACCACCATAGCTTCCATCTCGTTGCTTTTGCTCTCCCCCAGTAATGCCTCCTTCTTGCCGATCTCCTCGTCTTCGGTCTTTTCGGGGAAATCGCCCCCTTGTGTGTCCCAGAACACCAACGGCTCTTGTGTGTCGTCGGTGCCGTCGATTTCATATGGTAGATCGGCCAGCAATCGCGCTTTGACTGCGTCTGCGGCGATCAACTTGGACTCGTAGAGCTCGTCCGACGGGAACCGCATGATTTGCTCGTGCATCCGATACTGTGTAGTCAGCATGCGTTTGATTCCTGGTCCATGCAGTGCCAGTAGACGGTCAAATAAGGTCCGCTCCAACGAAACACCCTTCATAGTTTCTTTATCTGTAGCATTGGTATCGTTCTTGGTCTCGGCAGCAGTGCCGTTGGTACGCGCCTCCTTGGATTTGTACACCGTGGATTTCACAGTAGGAGGTAATTGGAGATGGTCGCCGGCCAGCACGACCTTATCCGCGGACACAAGAGGGATCCAGCACTGTGCCTCGAGCGCCTGACTGGCCTCATCGATGATCACAACGTCGAATCTCTGGTTTCTCAACTGGTGGCCGCCGGCCCCATGGAGAGTTGCTAACACCACGCTACTTTCTCGCACCAGGCTGTCCACACACTTGGACTCGCGTTCCCGGAATTCCTTCCGGAGCTGCTTCAGATCGTCATAGATCACCCGCCTCTCACGGCCCGTCCGCGTCTTGCGGATGCTAGCCTGTTTCTGGTCGATTTCCCGGCGGACATCTTTGACAATACCCCCGGCATCGGACGTCTGTGTGAGCACCTCGAGGGAATGCTCCAGAACCGAGGGAAGCAAGCGAGCCGGATGCCCTATACGCACAACCGGGACCCTGTTTGGTGCTAGGCGCTCGACGATGTTATCGACAGACACGTTGGACGGTCCGCAGACCAGGATACGTTTCCGTCGCTGGACCATCTGCATGATGAGTTCAATCAGGGTGTGCGTCTTGCCTGTTCCTGGTGGGCCATGGATTAGAGCGATATCTTGGGAAGCGAGCGCGAAGCGAATAGCGTCTTTCTGGGAGTCATTCAAGGTTGAATCCGTGAATTCCACAGGGCCCGAGGCATCATACTCTGGCTGTAAAGGGGTCGTGTGGGCAAAGGCAACACGCATGAAATGCGAATGTTCTGATTCTGACATTTTTGCGATTTTCTCCATCGTTTGCTTCATCCTAGCACAATTAGTCCAGTCTACCGTCTCCACCGGGGGTCAATGTGATCCTTACCGTCGGTATGTGACATCGTTGGCAAGTTTAATCCTGTAATAACCATCAGCATCCATGGTATTCCCATAGAAACGACGACAAGATGCATACAGCCACAGCTTCTTCCCCCATAGCTCCTCGATAGTCTCATCATCCTCCTTGGACCGACCACCGCCACCCCGTTGTCCAAAGGCAATCCAGACACCACGGTCCCCAACACGAGTAACCACGCCCTCCGGACCACCTTTCGCGCCCTCCTTCGCACTATCTTTGCCCTTCTCTTTGCCCGCCTTCTTCGGCGTCCCCGCAGCAACATCATTCACACGAACCACGTCGCCCACGCGGATTCCATGCGACCCCAGACGAGGATGTCCGTCGGATGTCCGAGAATCATTGTTATTCTGTGACCGCGATCCAGTCGTCGAGACAGCCGGGTCAGGTGTGAACTCGCCGACGACGCGGCCGCCGAGACCTGTACGGCATTGTGATAGCACCAGGCCTGTGAGAGCGTAGCCGGTTGCCTGGAGTGTGCGACGAGTGGACGGGGAGACTGATGCGGCGGTGCTTGCGAGAGAAGATGAGGAGACCTCGGCTTCGTGTTCGTGGAGGAGGAGCTGGAGCTGGGTTTCGGCGAAGAGTGGGATGGAGATTGGTGTTGGCGGGGCCATAGTGGCCGGGACGAGAGCGGGGGCTGCAATTAGAGATTGCAGCCGCACATGAACGGAATTGGGTTGCAATTGATTCTGAGTCAATGGGATGTGCCGAGGAAGCTTGCTAAAGCGTTATGAATGTTGCGGGGAGCTACGATAAACGAACCTTGGGAGCTGTTCTGCCTGTGATTTCATATTAGTCATCTTATAGATCCCTCACTTGCGATATAGTTGACAGTTCTCTAATTATGTAGTTGAAGGTTCTGATATAATCTTCATAGTGCTCGAAATTCATAGGCCCCGGTGGCTGTAGCCGATTGTGACCGTCCAAAGGGGACGTCTCAACTCTGTATCAAGTGTTTATCCGCGTGGCACCACAAAAGACCTAATACAACTATACAGCTTGGCCACCAAGGGCCAGCAGAATGGGACTTGGTATCGATTGCGACAAACAATCCACCCCGGTCATACAGCTTCAATCTTAATCTTTGGCTCCTCCGCGTCGGGACTCCCTTTAACAACGGGGCTTTTTTTGGGCGGCACAAGGCCCTTGACTTCACTCTTGCACAGCTTCGTCCCAGCCAAATAACACTCCCCGCAGCGGCGCTTGACAGGTAAACAGACCGTCTGTCCCAATCCCACCAGCAACTTATTGATCTCATGCCACTTGTCGCGTGGCAGCCACGACTCGAGGGCGGCACGCGTCTCCTCGGGGTTTTTGGTTTTATTCCAGCCCCAGAGATTGGTGATCCGGTGAACATGAACATCAACTCCGATTCCCTCATGCCGGCCCCATGCGGCACTGACACACAGGTATGCCATCTTGGGCCCGACGCCCGGCAACTTCATCAGGCCTTCTGGTGTAGATGGGATATCACCGTCATATTCGTCGCGCAATATGAGAGCGGCGGCTTTGATGTATTTGGTCTTGTTGTTGTGGAACCCGACAGTGCGGATCAGCTCATTGAGCCGGGTGGGGGAAACCGCCAGGATATTCTGGAGGTTGAGGGTGCTGTCTTTGGCTTCTTTGGAAGCGGTATCGTCGTCTTCGGACTTGATTTTGACATCATCATCAGGGACCGGTGCATCTTCCCCCAGCTCCGTATGTAGTCGCTGCATTGCCACGGCCGTCACTGTATCCTTGGTTTGCGACGAAAGCATCAGCGCGACGAGGGTTTGGAACCGACGGTCGCGCTGCGAGGATGCCCGCCAATACAGCTCTGCGCACCCCATGGTATCGACGGGCGCGGTCGGGTTGTCTTCGCGCATCTTCTTCACGAGATTGTACATGGTCTCCCAGTTGGACGGGGGCTCGACCTTGACGGTTCCTTCAGCATCGCGGGTTTTTCTGGCTGGCAGGCGTCGGGGTTTGGATGGTGTTGCTTTTTTCTCGGATCCTTCCTTCACAGCAGACGCGCCGGGGCGACGCGGGCTGCGATTGCGGGTTGGCAGGCTGGTCGGGTCTACGGTGCGTTTGCGGCGTTTCGGGCGAGGTTCTAGGAGGTCTTCGATATCTGTCGAGGCAGCCGACGAGAGGGGCGACTCATCGTCACTGTTGGCCTGAGAAAAACGTGATTGAGGTGGAGATGACTCGGTCTTGACGGTAGAGTCTCCATTGTAGGCGAAATTCTTCAACGCGCTGCCATTGAGCGAAGCGTTTCGAGTCTGGCGGTGCGGAGGCGACAGCGCCTGCAGAACCTTGGCCGTATCTTTTGAGGTGCGTGAAGTGCGCATGGTAGGATGGTAAATAGCAGAATGCTGAATGGGAGGGGAGAGTAGAGCCAAGGTCAAGTTCACATGGGTCGTCGATCTGCGGATGCGCATTTGACGGGGTGTTTCCCCAGCCTCGGCCACGCGAACCCACTTCCGTCCGACCTGCTTTTGTCCAAATCAGACTCCGGCGCCGAGCCGAGCACAGCTCTATTTCCCTCCATACACCGCAGCCTCGTTGCGAGTTTCATTCTGCTGCACCCATTCCTTGCTTCTCCCCGACCGACCCGACCGATCTGCGCATTCCATTGCCATGGCGTCATCCGCCTCCAACACGACGCAGCGCCTGCTGCGCGAGCTCAAGGAATACACGAAATCGCCCAACGAAGTCCTACTGCACCTCGGGCCCGTCGACGAGGAAGATTTGCTGCGTTGGGAGGCCGTTCTGAAGGGCGTTGACGGGACACCGTACGAGGGTATGTCGAACGAAGCCCCATCTAAAGCCCGTTCTTCTCTTCTCTTTTCTTCCCTCTACCGCCGGAGTCATCTGTGGGGGTTTCTACTCTCAGGCTAACCTCTACTCACTCACAGGCGGACTCTGGCACCTCCGTATCGGCATCCCATCCAACTATCCTCTCGCGCCCCCGACCATCCATTTCACGACGCGCATCTCCCACCCCAACATTTCCTTCGCCACAGGCGAGATATGTCTGACCCTCCTCACTACCGAGCACTGGAGTCCCGTCTACACGCTGTCGTCGACTCTGACCGCCGTTCACCAGCTGCTTACCGACCCGCAGCCGGACTCGCCGCTGAACGTCGACGTGGCGGCGTTGCTACGCGACGGTGATCTGCCTGCCTGGGAGAGCGTGGTGCGGTACTGGACGGGCGAGGAGCGGTGGCAGGGAGCCGGCAACTTGGGCCGGTGATATCGCAACTAAGAGGGTGTTAGCCATAGGAGCGTTGCCAGGATGGGGCAGTCCCTGGCGTGGGCGTGTCTATAGTTGTTATTTTCTGTTACTTTGGGCTTGTGAGCGTCGGCTCAGTATATTGGTCCTACATACCCCCCCTTATGCAGATTCCGGACATATATTGTGGAATCCTAGAGCATTTACGTTGGCTTCGTGACTTGCGAAGATAATTGCATTCTGTTCGATACGGAGATTTCTCTAAGATAATCCCATCAAGTACCGATTCAAAGTGCTGCACTGTAGATATTCGGACCACACCTCGAAAAGACAATTTGGAAATAAGCACCAAATCGCGCAGAAAATCAACCCTGATCATGGGGGAAACGCTCAGAAGATAACAAGAAGGAGAGACATGAGTGGGACGTTGTGGACCATGCGTAAGGATCGTAAGATGACAATAGTCATGGGAGATGCAGGAAAGCGGAAGGAACTGTTGCTGGGATAACGCCATGGAAAGATAGACGACGTGATATGCAAAAAAAAAAAAGCGAAAGAAAGAGGAATTGCCGGTGCTAGACCGGATGAGAGCCGCCTCACAGGGCTATGGCTGCCATGACGGCGCCTCCAACCATCACGACCACCTCCCGACCCAGGCTGCCGGTGGTCAGCGCGGCGGCATTGGTTTGCAGACCCGGGTGAGCCGAGCTGGTAGCGCTGGCCGCCGCGTCCGTCTGGTGGGGGTGCACAACAGTGACGGAGGTGATGGTGCTGACGGTGCCGTCGGGCAAAGTGGTTGTGCTGTGGTAGGTCGAGGTGGAAGACTTGGTGTTCGAGTTGGACGAAGGAGAGGTGGTGGTTGTCGACAGCGACGACGACGAAGAAGACGAGCCGCTCGTCGTGGTCGACAGAGTCGAGGGAGCTTGGGTGGTCGAGTGCGTGGTCCCACCAGTCGAGGTCGAGGGCTCCGACTTGGTGGTGGGCTCGGAGTTGGAGCTGGAGCTGGAGCTCGAGGTCGGCGCGGTGGGGTTGGCGGTCGGCTCGGCACTCGAGGTTGGGTCCGTGGGATCGGCGGTCGAAGTGGGCGTGTCGCTGGACGAGGGCTCCGATGGCGAGGTTGGAGTGTCGGCCGGAGACGAAGCAGATGGGGCGGGTTGGACTGGCTCCGACGGGGTATCCGACGACGGGGCAGTGGCATTCTCTCGCTTGGCCATTCTCACCAGGTGGGCAATGGTTACTTCATCATCTTGCAGGGCCTCGGCGGCACGCATGTCAGTGGGGAAAATGCCGTCACGGAATTTGGCAGATAACCGGTGCAGAGCATCGTGGATGGAGTTCGCATCGATGCTGGCCAGGGCCTTTTGGAGAGACTCACGGGGGGCATTGGGATTGGGCTGGGGCTGGTCGGCAAAGACGGTCACCAGCAGGAACAGCGACACAAAGAGGATCTGGAGGAAGCTGGAACGCAGCATGGTGAAATGGGGGCGAGAACAAGAGGTTGGGGGGGTTGGAGATGAAGAGACGAGAAGAACAGGAAGAGAAGACAACGAAAAGAAACGGAAAATGGCGTGAGAGTCAGAGAGCCCAATGTTTTCCCTGTTTTTCTGGCACAAAACTAGCGGTCGAGCGATACCCAAAAGGCAATAAATGGGGCTTAGAGATTTCGGTGTTCGCTCTACTCTCTTCTACTGTACTCATCTCACTCTGATCGGCGTATGAGCCGATCGGGATCGGCGTTGACACATTCCACACCCCGAGTGTCTTGGAGTCTCCTTACTGCAATTGCAAAGTTGAAACTGAGATCTCAGAACTGAAGATGCAAATAGCCCACAGCGCCAGCGAGAGCAGACGGGCAGCTCGGGTGATTTCCCCTTTCACGTCCTAAACGCGTGCAAGAAAAACAGCCGAATGACTGCGCCATGATTGGCCAAGTCTCAGCTGAAAATAGAAGCATGTTGTCATGTCTCAGAGCCAGAAACTTCCGAATGGAACGCAACTGTGGACTTGGATTTGCTGGTGTCATTACGCCATGCACTTGAAAAAGAAAATATCCAAATATCCCCGACCATCCTAACAACACTCGCACGGATGTTTCACGTATACCGATAACAGTACCCATCCGTCATGGGGTTCATAACTTCGCGGACCGACCGAGACCGACCGAGAATCCCGAAGTCCATCTCCAGGTCCATGGTAACGGGCTTCCCCCAGGGCGGATTCAAGATAGTGGTCGTGCCATTCACCGCATACCGGCGGTTCTTCGCATCCATGGCTTGCCATTTTGCCCAGAGCCGATCGATCATCGCATGATGCAGCATAAACACCGGGTCTTGTGTCGAGGCAAACAGATCCTGGAAGGTGGATCCCAGACTAAAATGGCCTCCGCCGTGGACCCCAAACACCCCGTCCGGTCGTGCCGGCCAGTGGTCCACCACCGTCTGGAAATCAACAATATCGGACGAGGCCATCAGTCGATCGACGAGCGTCGCGTTGGTGTAATGTGTGGCGACGAACAGATTCAGGCTGCGGACGAAGCAGCGCGGGTTGTACTCGAATCCAGGTGATGGGATTTCGGTCAGCGAGACAAGGTTTCGCGAGAATGGGCCCATATGGATCTGCATATCCTTGAACGGGCCACACCGCACACACCCGCCTCCGGTCCCTCGTGGGATTGTGATGTTGGCGTTGGAGATATCCTCCTCGCTGGAGTCGAATTCCCCGTCGCCGGAGAGGGAGGTCTCGCTGCAGTCAAAGAGAGGGCTTGCCGCCAGATTGTCTACCCAAAGTGGCCAGTTCCAGTACCTAGGGTTAGGTTAGTCCTGTCTATTTGCACAAGGGAAGGACTGGCTACGGTAGGTATCCGGTATATTCACACTCATCTCGAATAGCCCTCTCCCACAGCCAGATATAATGCCGGTGCCATGGCAAGAAGAGACCGCTGTAGTGGACTTGAAGGGTATAGTTGATGTGAGTACTGTCCAGTCACTGTTAGCCACGTCTGAATGCTTCTTGGTGATGTATTGAAGAAGCACTGAATACATACGCCACGAAATCATCGAAGCGGTTGCGAACCCCAGGGAATTCCGATGCTGGAAGCTGCTTTGGCTTCTGTTGCATACACTGAATAGCCGAGATATATGCTTTCCTTTCGAGTCGCGTAAACTGACCCCTGTGGTATATGTCAATAATACACGATCGTTCTGTAAATCTTCAAATGCAACATACCACTCTTTGCGCAGCGCCACAGTACTAGGATTGCACCGCCATGGAGCCGGTGATGAGAGCGCTACAGGGGCCAGCACTCCCAATGCAAAGACAAGCCAAGCGGTCTTGAGAAAAGCCATGATGACAACTCCCGGCAAAACAAACGACAGACACGAAACAGAGCTCAAGATGTGGCGTCCGGTGCAATTCTTCAAAGGGTCTCAACTGACGATTGATATCACTTATATGTCCCAGGGCCCCAGGACTAGACAGTGCTAGGGCCACCCCTCCCCTGGTTGATGTCGTCGTGGTTGGGCCTCTCAGCCCTTCTCGCATACTTGGTCAGGATGGGCGTACCAATGCCGAACTGGCGAGACAATGTCCACTTTTGCTGGCTCTGGTCATGCTGCAGGTACCATGATGGCATGGGCTACGCTCTATCACGAGGGATAAGCCATCATAGTTGGGTATATTGAGTCCTGAGAGACTGAATCACATCTGCAAACCAAAGGGGTCATCTCACGCTTACTGTATTAGTGTCTCATATGTTCTACTCAGAACCGAACTTCTCGCCAGAGGTTCATGTTGAACACATTAATGATGCCTATCTGCATGCTGTGTCTTATAATAAGCAAGGGATATCTAGTACACGTGTTTAGCCCGTGGTCCCCGGGCATCAGGGGTGTAATTTTGCAGGTGTACAGCTATTAGCCTCTCATTGTTTTCTCTAATCGGTATTCGAAAATGAGTTGCCTTTTATATTCCCCCAAGCTCCGACCAGTAAACTGTGAGCATATCAAATGGTTTTATTCCATTCTATACGGGTCCGTCGCTAGTAACACTGGCCCTCTCTTCAGCTCATCTGAGAAGGGTCTGAAGTCTGTAGTTAGTGGGTAACTTCATGAAACCCCTTGCCCGATGCCTCGGTTGGGAGGGACCAATTTCAAATCGTCCTTGCTACGTGGGTACAGCCACATCCTGGAAGGAACTAGATCAGTGACTGTCGTACTGTTAGCATCACAGCCCGGATATCTGGTTTCCGAGGGACATCTAAGCCCATGTTCCATGACATGAAGCAATAGCTTGAGGGATGTGTAATCTTCAGGGTATTTATGAATTTGCATTAGCTTATTCAGACCTCGTTGCCCCGTTTTATATATTGGATCAAAATTATACAGATGTTTATTCGGTCTTGAATGCAGTTGCGGCTGAACAAGCTACAGTTACAGGTAGCAAGATCCAAATGTCATCAGTCAGTTATATACCACAGCTGTTGACCCCTGGTTTCAGTCAGCCCACTCGGAACGTCACGGATCTAAATCTATCGCCACCGGTGTTTGGCAAGATAAGTGATGAGGAATGCATTATCTGCAAGCGACGGCAGGGGTATATATGTGGCGAGTACAGATCAACAGAACAGAACCGCGTGATAGCTCAACGCAATCTATGTCCTTTTTTTTTAAAAAAAAAAGAAGAAAGAGAGAAAAAAGAAGAAAGAGAGAAAAAAGAAGAAAGAGAGAAAAAAGAAAAAAGCATCTCTAAAATGCAATATACTATAAACACCAGAACTCTCCTCGAAAAAAAAAAGACCAATCATTTCCATACCCTCTCATACACACCAATCCACTGGCCCCAACCCGCAACATTCCCCTCGATCCCCTGCAGCACCTCCTCAGCCGTCGGCAGCGGGCTCATCTTACTAACATCCAAAGGCTGAGTAAGAGCAACAAGTGTAAAAAAGTAGCGATGCGGCCCATGGCCCAGCAGCGGCCGCGGCGGAATATAGACAGTCCCTTTCCGGTTCTGCCCGTACTTCCACCCGCCATGAAGCGCATGCGGGCCACCAGACTCGACCTCGACGAAATCCTCGGCGGTCACCTCGGTCACAGTCGGCGCGATCCCGTAGTAGATACCATGGATGATCGGGTTGGGCAGTGGCGCGTCGGGGTCTTCGCTGATGAGTAGGTACTGCTTGATCTCTGCAGATGATGCTACTACTGCTGGCCAGCGCAGGGTCGGGAAATGTCCGGCGCCGTCTGCCGAGTGGTCCTCGTGCAGTTGCGATCCGGACGCGCCTACCTCGGGGCACTCGATGTCGATGGTGGGGTTGGAGAATTGGGAGAAGGCGGGGCCCTTGCTGAAGAGTTTGGCGTCGCGGCCTTTAGCGTTTGCAAATAGGCGGCTGAAGCCGTATTCCACGTATTTCATCATCTGCAACCCGGTGGTTAGTTGTTGTTGGAGGGGAAACTCATGCACGGGAGACAAGGATCGCGTAGCACAATTGGATTGTTATTATTGATATGGGTGACTCACTTTGGATATGGGTGATTTAAAACACCATTAAACAGCCACAGGAGTCAAAAAATATTGCGAAGAAAATACGCGACGCTGGCGTGCGATTTATTGGGCCTCCTTTGCCTTTCCCGGGCCGGCTTCGGGCCGCTTACGGCGTCGATGAACTGCGCCGACTCGGCACTGTTCGGCTTTTAGTGAAGAGCTTAGCCCTGTCTGATTTAAGTCCGTCTTACCTCCACGAAGATACACTACGCGGCCAAAAGTCTGCTGATAGTCTATAATTTCGATTTACCCTACTATATTAAATTCTGAATAACTCCCCTAATATTAATTAATATAAAATTATACAAAATATACAAAGAAAATAGATTAATATCTAGTATACTAACCCTTCGCTGCGCGTATAGCAGCTATTCTACGAGGTATAGATCGAATTAAGCTATCAATAACGTTTTGATTAAATAGTTCCCATAGATCCGAAAGGCACAAAAATCCTCCACATGTTATTCCAGCAGGATTGTGGCTTGTCTCCAGGGTCTTCCCTGTTCTGTCTCCACATCAATACAGCCGACTCCCACATGCTTGCAAGGGTCTTTCCCGAGAAGCCACCCCCCTGATTTCTTTCCTCCTGGACAGACCAGCAATCCAACGGCGTCGTATGGTCCATTAATCTCGCCTAAGAGGAGAAGAAAGATGTCATGGCCGTACTCTCTGTAGCTTTACATAGTCAGAGAACCCGTGAGGGTCCTCATCAAAGCTTCCCTTGGAATGCACAATCTCTCCATGCATCGCGTCAGCAGCCACTTTGATTCGCTCGGGATCGGTGAAAGGGGAGGGTTCTTTCGGATGCCCTAAGATATGCAATGGGCACAATCTCCCAGTAATCCGGAGATGATTGCTGGAAAAATCGCACATCATGCTGCACTGTGGCCTAGGATTGCTACAAACCTGGAGCCACGTGGGCACAGTCGAGTCTTGGGTAATCCGCCAACTCAGGCCCGGAGCTGGAGGGATGGTGTGAATGAATGCTTGCCCTATAATGGGGCACCGTGTGATATTCGCCAGGGCAAACTCGGTGATCAGGCTGGGCAGCGTAGGATTGTCCCCCGGATGGGCAAATTTGCCGACTCGCAGGTTATAAATCTGCATGATAGCGTAGATGCGATCAACTTCTCGAGAAGTCCGCCGATACTTGGCGATACCGTACTGAATATTGGGATTTGATCCCAGGAAGAAGTAGAACCCGGCTTGTAGGATGTGGTTAGTCAGTTGGGCTACCTGGTCCCGTACGCTCTCCTCCTCAGGCGATAGTCGGCCATTCTCTCGCTCGGAAGTGTTTAGGGCCCTGCCCACGAGGTCGAGGCCGTCGTATATATTCCTACAGGCGTTGATGACCATGCTCAGGAACGTCAAGTAGTCATCATCCCACCGGACCGGCTCACCACTGCAGCTAAGGACTTTTGCATCATGTCGTAGAATGACCTCCTGTAGCGTCCACAGTGATGAAAACCAAGGGTCGCCGAAGAAGATGTCAAAGGCAGTGGAGAGACGGTCGAGGTGGACATAAGGCAGACCTGTCAGGCCCTGGAAGAAGTGATAATGCAGGTCCGGCCCGGATTTGTTGATCCCACTGACAACTTTTTGCAGGGTATCAGTGGAGAGTCTCGACAGCCAGACATACACATTACGGGCTTTCTTAAAGATACTGGCCTGCCTGCCAACCTCTTGCGCGTTGAAGGCTTCATCTTCCTGGTCGATACATGCAATATCCACCCAAGCCCAATCGATGCCCCCTTCTCGCATTCTGCCCAGGACAGCCTGAAATCCAGCAACCGTGAAGTGCTCCTCTTTCACGGCGGGAATTTTCCACGGGGTTCCCTTGATTGGCAGAGCGGGCGGGTCGTGCTTCATTCGGTCTCTGATTTTCCACCGGCCCCAAGTGTAGGTGAGGATGTTGTAGCTTGGTTTTTCCACCTGGCCATACACACCACTACTATCTCTTTCGACGGAGGTCATGGTTGGGATATGAAGAAGCCGGCATGGCCAGTAGTCCTCAACACTACGCCAGCCATAGGGCATTCCGTTGGGCCAAGGGTGCTCCTGTTGTTGTGTAGTGAGATTAATTAGCACAAGAATAAAAGATGTGTTATCATGATGCTTGCGTACCATTTTGTTGACGAGCAGATACTCTCGTGTTTTTTAATATCAAGGGAGAAAGTAACTTCCAGCGTTACATTTATGTGAACCGTCAAAAAAGACGTAATGGTAACCCCTCGGCGAGGCCGTTGGCGTAGGCCTCGCAACAGATGCCTATGAATCAGGTAGGGATACGATGCCTAACAGACAGCGATACGAACAGTAGATCCAGGGCCAGAACTGATTCTTGAAGAGGAGAAACTAGATACTGAGTGAGTGCGATCTTTTGAACTCCTCCTTCTGATCGACAAGGGCTCTGTGGCCTAACAGTGGGGCTCTGTTGCCAAACACACCAGGATGGGCAATCACCAGTCCAACCGAACTGGACGAGTAGCACCCACTCCCTTCATCTTCCCTCACCCACTGCTGTTGAGATCTTCTTGAGACTAGGTCTAGAGTAGTTCGAAAAGATGTCGCTTTCCAACACGCTTAGTGCCGCCAGTACCCTAATCGGGTATATTGGCACCGAAGTCGCGACCACGGATTGTTTCAATCGAGTCCTCTGGCCGCAGCGGTCCTACAATAACTTCTCTCTCCGAAATGCCTGGATCCCCGCCCTGCTCATGCCACTTGGGGGTCCACTTTATACCGCCGCTCTCAAGACCGTCGATACATTCCTCAGGAATGGCTTATTCCTTAGGCCTAACCTCGGGAATATGCTGGGGACTGCGTTCTTCCCGGACTCCGGGATGCACTACCACTTATACGAAGACGGGGTCCGCAGTAGGGAAGCGCAAGTCCGGAATGGGATTTGGGTGCAGGTTCTGCAGGAGATGCCGATGATCGCTGAGCGAATGGAGAAAAAGGTTGAGGGTCAAGTGGAAGATGGAAGTCAGAAAAGGGGGCACATTCGGCAGTTGACTCCTGTCAACCATCTAATTCTCTCTCCGGCCAGAGCCGAGAAACCGCCTCCAAATGTACGAATGAGGCGCTTCTCGATCGATCAGGATATTGGGGCCGTCACGCTGCGAACCATTGTGGCGATTATTACTACCGAAATCACCGGGGTGAGCGTCGCAATCGCCGTGGCGGTCATATGGCGGTCTGCCTTTATGGTTCTTTGGCTGGTTCCCCTGGTCTTGAAGTTAATAAGTGCGTTTTGCACCATCCCAAGAGAGCCTCTGATCTTGAATAATACTCCGACAGCTACGACACAGACGTCAGGGGAGACGCCGACGACAACAAATTTCCTCATCACATCTGGGCAGGGGTTTCACATCATCGAAGGACCCCCTCATATCGTCCTGCAGTTCTTCAGACATTACGGCCATCCCAGGAGGAGCCAGTGGAATGAAAGAGTCCAAATCGCAGTTGTTTTTGCTTTCGGCCTGAACTTTCCTGTGGGCCTAGTCGTGTCAATCATGTGTATGCCTACTACGCTGCAGTGTGTGTGGACAGGCTACGTGCTCTATGCAACTTTGGCGATGTATGTGTCGAGATACACGTATGGTCAATGGTGGTTGACAACCGAGGAACGAATTGCAAATGCACTTATCTACGCGGAGGGACATCCGGGAGAGGCCCAGGTTCTGTTCAGGGGGGCTGATGACGGCGTTTTAGAGGCAGAGCTTATACGGACCCTGCATAGTTCGTATCAGAAGGCAAAGGAGCATGCGATGCGATTACTGGAACAGAAGAGATCTCAGGAAGCACTAGGGGAAGCTGGGGAGAGCAGAACTGCTGAGGAGAAAGGGCACAGAAGAGAGGATCAAATTGTCTGTCTGTAGGAGAGAGAAAAAGAAGAGAAGCGAAGCTATCTACTACCTACATCTGCTGCGAAGGCGGTCTGGAAGGCGGTGGAGAAAGGCTGGCAGAACACCTCCCAACACTTTAGGTCGAGCTTCTTTGTTATATAGGACTTCGTACGAAGGTCCCATAACATATAGTTATCATGCGATCTAAGAGGAAACGGGACCTAAGATAGGACCCTGGGCTAGGGCCGGAAACTGTTCGGTAGGGGGCAAGGCCTATGAATCTTGAGATAGCTTGTCTGTTGTACCCCCTTCGTTTGTAGTAAGCACTTTTGCGCTTTGTCGTTAAGAAGGGGGCGAGTGTGGAGCGATGAGCAAGTAACGACAAAGAGCCTCTGTTTTCCTCTCGATCAAAAGGCGGTGAGGCGATAAGTGCTGACCAGCGAGCGATCACCTTACTACCAACAACCCTCCTTCATACTTTGCCCCGTTCGAGTGATCCAAAGCTCGTATAGATCAGATTTCTTTTTATCTTTATATCAAGTTGAATTCAGACTCATTGTTGTATAGGCAGTCAGATAGGAACCGATGTTTCTTCTCGCCTAGCTTCCACTCGGTCCACAGCCACCGAGCTTAGGGTCATCATCCTTGGTCAAACAGGTAGGGTTTGACAATTCTCCATCACCTGCACCACACTCTAACGGAGAAGTGGCGCTTTCCGACCCTTTGAGATAGCACCAGATATCCGAGTCACCGTTGTTGGTGGGTGTTCCTTTGTGACCGCCGTCGAGTGGGGTACAGTCAACGATGGCATACTTCACACCTTTGGTGGCGCCGCTCGCGAAGCAGTCAAAACCATAACCCTCTAATAATCAAAGATATTAGAATCCCAGAGACAACCATCACGCAAAATATCGAGGGCTGTTACATACTTTGGGCAGCAGCAAGAGTTCCTGTAGAAACCAGGACGGTGAGAGCGAGATTGAGTTTCATATTGAATGGACTGGGGGGTTCTTTGTGGGTTCGACTGCATATTGAGAGGTAGGGAATAGGGCGCTCTAAATACTTGTTCGTATCCTCCTACCGCATGCTCCCAGAATAGCAATAGGGGCAAGTTTGGGAAATGGGGCAAAATTTCCGCGATGGTGATCCACTATCGGCGGACACACGGCCTCGGATTGGGTGCCCTGTTCTTCGACCCTCTAAATCTGGGTTTAGTGTATCTCTTGGCGACTCTGTTAACCAAAGAGGGAAGTATCGATCGGATCATCACTACCCTAACCTCTCTCGGCAACCTCATTCGTGGACAATATAATCTGAACAGACAGGATGATCTTGAAATATCGTGGACTTGAAGAGGGGAAAGAAAGGAAGAAAGAAAGAAAGAGCAATCAAAAGATTGAAGGCCCATGGCCTTTCCTGGACTAGACGTTTGGTTGTACAACAAGGCCTACGGACGAGGGAAGCGACTGCTCGTGTGGACCAAAATATTCCTTGAAGGTGTCCGATAGCACCTTCGAGAGGTGTATATGCTGGCCCGGAATAGTTTTCAAGCCTAATATTCCTTGCTTATCTAGCTTCTTAAGGTCGAGCCAGTCCTCGGTATAGAGGAGTCTCTGCTGCAGCGGGGTAACGGAGCTATTAGTAGACTTCCGCACGACCTAATATAACCCGGACCTAACCCGGACCTAACCCGGGCTGGGTTAGGTTTTGGGTCGAAGACTCCGACCTAGTGTTAGGTCCGGGTTACGATTAGGCAAGTTTGGGAGGGCGACGGGGAAGCGCGGGAGTACGAGTTTGGGAACTAGGAGTCACTTCAACTCCCGTGGGCGGGTTTTGTCAGTCTAGTGGCAGAGTAGATAGGTGCATTTTTTTCCTGTTACCCGTAGTTTCTTTTACCATTTCCTCACGATTATGCCATTGCCTCAATATAGTAGAGATCATTCAAACGGCCAATAACGCTCGTACTCAGCCCTTTCCTCGTCAGTCTCAGCCAATTGCGCTAATATCTGACTCTTGACTTCGTGGAGCGCAGCTTTGCAATCATCGTATCGCTCGTGACTGATGAAGCCTTTGTCTGGCCATAAATCGCCCATTCTCTCCTTGACCTCTGCAACAAGCTCAGTTCCCGCCACTGCACCATCGCTATCCATTTTAATACGCTCGAAATCTTCTTCCGAAAAGTCAAACGGGAATGGGATATTGCTGTTCACGGCAGGTAAGTCCGCCCATGTATCCTTTAGATCGACCAGAAGCGATTGGAAATGCGCCTCACCGTATTCGAACATTCGGTGGGCAAGAAATGTCAGGCCGTACGCTGCCGTCTTTCGGAACTCGACTACTCGATATAGGTCTGGGTTTTTGGCATGCATGAGTTTCCGCCATCCAATTAACACGTTTTGGATGGTATACTCGTGTACAGCCGTGGATCGTTCTTCCGGGGAAAGCTCAGAGAGTTTCGGCAGCGGTGCTAGATCGAGCGTCTCAGGCTCAAGGCCACTCCAGTCGAGGAAGGCTGGGTCGGGATTGTGGTTGAAGAGGGGCGAGATATGGCAAGACTGCCAGTCGATGATGCCCGTAATCTTTTCGGGATTATGCGGGTCTACGAAGACGTTGTCATCGTGTAAATCGTTGTGCCAGAGGCAGGGGCTAGTGATGGCAGTGTCCTTTGGGATAAGGGCATCGACGATTTGTCGGTACCATGCTAGAGCAGTGATTTTCTTTTCCTTGTCTGGTCGGTAGAGTTTTGGGCCACAAAATAAGGCAATCTGTTTCGGGGGTTTTAAAGACTGGATTGCCTTCGTTTCTCGCGTTCCGACTGCTTGCAGATACTGCGTTAGAGGAGCCCCTACAAACTTATTAGCGGCTGCGCAAAGAAGATACGAACGACAACGTACATGGCCCTTTCTCGATGTCCAAAATTGATCGGCCTGCATCAAACCAATCCCGGCCTGTAGCCGGGCCAATAGCAAACTCCGAATCTCTGATGGCCTTGCCATCCTTGACGTAGTGGCTGTCTGCTGGTGGCTGCACGTCTCCTGTGTAGTACAAGCTGCCATAATGCGAGAATGAAACGCTCAGCCATTGCTTCTGGAGACGTGTCATGGCAAGAAGCACTTGAAGTTTCTGGGGTAGTTTCAAGGTGCCCCAGACTTGGGACAGCGGAACACCCTCAATTTTATCCATGATGATAAATTCGGCGCCAACAGGGTGCGATCTTGCCTGCGAGTTCCATGAGTATACGTAAGGCGCCGGTGTCTCAAGAACTTTTCTGGCCTCCCAAATCATTCGTGTTAGCAAGACTCGGTTGTAGATGGAGTTCAAGATAAACATACGAAGTCCATAGTGGCAACTTCACTGGCCGTAGTAAAGTGTGGGACGCCAGCATTCGGATTAGGCACCTTAGCTACGACTTGTCGGCCATCGTCCATAGACATGAGGAATGCTTTGTTGAACATGCCGTCGGGGTACTTCTTGATAGAAATGCATCGAGAGGCGCCGACCGAGTCTGCTGCGACACGTGCGAGCCTATTCATGTCGAATCTGATCTCTCGCTTTCGAAGATTCTCTGCTTCATCTACAATAAAGCGGCCGCGCGTGAATTTGAAGAATTCATCGTTAGAATTCCAATCTGATACGGATTAGTAATATGTTGAATTGCGCTCAGATGGACGTGCTCACCTGTCTGAGAAGAGCCCATGCTGGTGGGACAGTGGTCGTAGGATAACGTTGGAGCTTCCGAGATTGAGCGGCAGTGTTGCTTTGGACTTGGTATTATCCTTTCAAGATAGCAACAAAGACGCGCGGATGGGCGTCGGCACATATTCCAGGAAATGTAATGCCTCTGATGATGCCTACCTTCCAGAAAATCACGTAGCACTCGATCACAGGAACATCAGATTGTCGAGGAAATCGAGGGGCAAAAATAAGATCGATTCAGGGAATGCTGCTTTGCTATGCAAACTGAGCGATGATGATGCAGGTGCCGTAGAGGAAAATTAGATAGTGGCCCCTAGACAGTCGGGATGATCCCTATCGCCCTGGATACGCAGTCAGCACGTGACCAGATCAAGACGCTAGGGCATTTTGTGTGCATTTTATTAGTCAGCGACTCTTGTCCTCTGCCTCCTAACCTAGTTTTACGCAATTGCTCCAGACATGCCAGACTCATCGTAAATTCAGGAAGGAGAAGGACATATTCTCTCCCCCTGATGCCTTACCGCCCCGAGGTGACGTCACGGTGCGCGCGGTTCATGGCAGGTAGCTAACATTGGACGTAGCCTCACGGCTCTGGCGGGTACGGCAACCTGAGACCTGACTCGATCGATGCCCTTGCAATCAAACTACTCTACAGGCTCCATTGTAATGGAGTTTTTACGCGTTCTGACTACTGTACGGTTAGCACAGACAGTTATCCTAGTTACCTGAGCGGCTAATCAGCGCTCGCATCCGCAAAGACGCATGAGCGTGTCGTGCGGGACAATAGCATGACCAGTCTGAGGTTTTACTCCAAGCCATGCTAAATACCAAATTCGTGTTTCCGGTTACCTCAGATGTCCCGCTCCCGCGCAGAAGATTCTGAAAATAATAATGAGCGATACGCCTTCTTGCTTTCCTGCAGTGCCGCTGGCATGTGGAGCCATGCTGCAGTCTTAGGCAGGCTACCGTCAGACTGATTGGCAATCTGAAGCCGCCTCTGACGAGTTGTTTGCAGCATGAAATCTGGTCTTACTGCCCAACAGATCCCCCCATCTTTGACCCAGAAATATAAGACGCCAAAATTCATCCCAAGAATGACAAGACAGACTTCATTCCACAGCAATCCACCGCCTCCAAGTGAGTGTTCAGTTCCCGCTTCTGTCATGATACTGACAAGCTTCCCCGAGCAGCGTCTATATCCTACACTCACCTGCACAAGCCCTCATTGTATTATCATGCCTTCCAAGACCAAAAAGTCGCTTGAGGCTCTCATGGCCTACATCAAGCAGTCGAAAAGTCGTCGCGCTACGATTGTGCGTGGCCAAGGCGAGCCTGGTCACCGAGCTGCCCCGGCGCGTGGGGGAAACCATGATGCGAGAATCGGAAGCCGCATCGACGTTGGAGAAATCATCAAGAAAGCTGGCAAGGAATATCGACGGTACAAATTCCAGCTCAATTTGAATGCGCAAGACTCCACTCTCAAGAAAAAGGCTGCCCAAGATTCCCACAAGGTTTATTCGACTGCAGATCTGGAGATTAAAGGGGATAGGACCGAGGAGGATGAAGAGCAGGCGATGCGGGACTTCGAGGAGCAATTGTCAAAGAACTTAAGAGAATAGATGTGGTAATGTTATATAGCCACCTGGTATTATCCGATTGTTTGTTGGGACTCGATCAGGTACATTGTCTGTTTAGATTCGCAAATAGTCTCCGTATCTTGGGCAACAATGGAAGCGGTTTCTGAAGTCGATGTTCTCGTAGTCACCTGAATGTCACTCTTCATACTTGAGGATGAGCAAGCACACCGCGTTCCTTTGGGGGACTGACATACGACCGGGTGATAGAGTACTTTTGGCGCTATCTCTCCATCATGTACAGGAACTCGCGCATTCACTAATACTTGCCCATGAGATACAGGGCGCCCGTTGGAACCTCGGGAATTGTTAGGGTGAGAGGGCAACAGTTGAAAACTCCTCAGTGTTCAGTGTAGTCGAATTGATCCTGGTTGCAAAACGTGGCTTCACGTAGGGTATCACATGATCATATTATTCAGCCGGACGAGACAGTTCAGTCAATAGGGACCAGAGCACAGCTGAACGGCGTAACAAGCCAAAGGATTGATAATGAGAAAAGAAAATGATTAAATAGTGGGCTCTGAATTGACAGATAAAATCAGGTATGCAGCAAATTTGTCATCGAGACGACCTCAGGGATCTTAATATAATTCTTATTTTTAGAAAATCAATATATACAATAATAGGGTCCAAAAGTCTGGGTATAGCACCCTACTTTAGTAAAATCCATATTCTAACCCCTTTTTTCTTTTCTCTCTACTATAACGAATATACGATATTTTAGTACTGAAATTAATGCAAATTATAGGTTAAATAATAAATTATCGGAATCTACTTATATAGCGATTATTTTTACTCTCGAAAAAATCGCATACGATTTAAATCTTAGCTGTACTATAGTTTACCGGACTTGCGATCGTTTTTAGTAATATTATATTCTTAAATTATCGTCTAGAAATAGTAGACCTTTTAAGATTAGCGATTAAACTATTCGATATATCTATCGGATAGCCCGTTAAAATCTATAAATAAATAATAGAGCTTTTAAAGCGAATATCTTTTATTTACCCTCTCGATCAACGATTCGACGCGTTTTAAAAAGATATAGGCTTTGAAAATAGAAAAGTAAAAAGCAAATATTTTTATTAAAATCGATTATATAAAAAAGATATGCTTTTATATATAAATAGGCGAGTTTTTCAGATTAAGAGAATCTAATCTTTTTTAACGAATATTTAGTCTAATAAATATCGAATTCTAAGGTTTAATTTATCTTTTAATTTATCTCCGAGGCCTACTAAAGCGATCTTATAAACCTTATAAGTTATAGTAAGGATATTTCGTAGATAATTTAAGCTAGAATCTAGATTAGTAGCCGAATAAAAATAATAGTTATAAAACGCGATAAAAATGTAAAGAATATACTTGGCAGGGTATAAGGGCTGTCGATCAGGTAAAGAAACAAGGGGAAGGAGTAAGGGAAAGCAGTATATCTTCATTGCTGTCAAGACTGAATCTTGTCTTGCCAGCTGGATGCGAGAGTATCAATTTATCATACATCTTCGTAACTCCACGCATCATCGATGATGTAAACGACTGAGTCTCTGTTGTGTATCGTGATCATTCCACTATAGGGTGTAGACTTCCGCATAACCCAACTTGGGTCGAAGATCTCGACCTAAAACCCAACCCGGCCTAGGTCCGGGTTGAACTTCTCTAAAAATTTAGTATTAGAATAGTACTAAATCCTATTTATTAATAAGAAATAAGTATTAGACCTATATATTCCCTTAAATCTAAGATAATTTATTTTCGAGAGATTATTTTTCTATATTTTAAGTCTTTTACTATAAAAGGATTATATAGTCCTCGTAAAACAATTTGTATTTATACTGAGGTCGCCGATTCTGGCGTTAAAGGAGGCCAGTAATAGCCTCCTCGGCACTATCCTTCCGTATACGTACTCTTACCCTAGAGCCACACTCCGCTTAACTGCCCCTTTTATAACACGCGTTGTCACGTTCTCGTTTAGCTATATCAGTATCTAGGCGCGTGGCTCCCCTTCCCCTACGTCGGCGTCCCGCTCGTGTTTTCTATTAACTTCTATCTATCTCTAGAGACCTACTCTTTAAGCGTTACTATAACCCTTTGTATAGTAAGGTCACCAAAAATAGTATACTCTATCGGAGGCTTATTAATCGCTAGGGTAATAAAGGTTTTATAGCTATAAAGCTACTAATAGTCCCTCTCTTCTTACTCTCTTATCTAGCCCTCCTCTCCTCTAGTATTTATTTTTTGCTAATCCCTTCTTTAATCCATATCTCGTAGTCCCTTATCCCTTCTATTCAGCTATCTACCTATCTAGAGCGTCTTTATATATAACCTTTTATTTCCTTAGAGGCAATATAAGCGATATTATAGATCTATCCTTAGCGACCGATAGTAATATTTCGGGGGTATCTTTCCGGCCTAATTTTAATACTATCGATAACTCCGATTCTAGGGATACCTTAATTTTAACCAGGCTAACTAACCCAGAACCTAGCTATCTACCCGATAACTATAATAGACTATTAACTTATTTAAAATAACCTATATACCGCCTAACGGATATTAGTGTTTTACCCGATTTTAGCGATAACCCTAATAACGATATAGATAAGGACCTTATAAATATACTATTTAATTATAGGCGTTTAGACTAAACCAAGATTCAGGGTCGATAAATAAAAAAATATTAATATAAATAAGTAATAAATCAGACCTATATAATAGAGATAGTTACTAATATAAGGTATAGATACTATAGAGTAAAGACTACTTAGCCTAGTATATTTTTAAAATAGGATAATCTAGAGGAGGTATTATATAAGCTTACCCCTAATAATATATATTAATTTTTTAATTACTATATAAAGCTAAAATATAATAAAGATAGTTAATATCTAAAAGAAACGTTAAAAGCTAATATCCTAAAAACTAACTAGAAAAGATTTTAGGGTTACTATTAAAGAATTATATAGACTAAGATTATCTCTAAAAATAATAAAGAGATTAATACTATAAGTTATTTACTATAAGCCAATACTTAGAGCTAACTTAGTCTAAGGTATCCGGAAACTTATTGATAAATTTAACCTTAATTAATAAGAATAAAATAAAGAGCTAGTATATATTTAAGACTTAACTAAATTAAATAAGATAATCCTCCGAACTTAGGAAAAATAATTTTATTTTAGATATAAATAGATCTAGCTCTATCTTTTTAATATACTTAGTATTTTTACTATAAACTAGCTATATACTCTTCTTTTACTATAATTTAAATATCTATATTTCTCTATATAGTATAATCTAGATAGAGGCCCTTTTATACTTTTAGCGGAGATTAAGTTAGAGTATATAAAGAAATTCCTCGGAACTTCGTAAATATATATATTATATATTAAACTAGGGTAATAAAGATCCTAATATTACTATTTATTCTTAGTAATAATTTTCTTTTTCCTAAAATCATTAATAATCTATCGTTTATCTTTAGCCCTTATATATTTATCTTTAGTATACTTTTTTGGCTTTAAGCCTTTAAAATCCCTACGCTTTTATCTATAGATTACCTTCGAAAGCTATTTATCGAAGACGGTTAATAATAGATAAAACTACCTTTAAAATATAGAGTCAAAAACTTTTATATATTCTATAAGATAGAGATAGTTAATAAATATATAATTCTTTAATAGAACTAACTAATAATTAAGAGCGTTATATCTAGATATCTAAGAAATCTAGGGGAGATCTATAGCTTCCTTTAGTTAATATTTATCTATTATTTTTGCTATAAAAAGAGGAAGATATTAAATAAAAATAATATAGTTAGCAAAATATAGTAAAACCTAATTATAAAATATATTAATACTTATACTTTGTTAAATTATTATCTTCTATATTATATCAATATAGATATATAGAGTATTATAAATAGTCATAAATCTAATAAGTCTCTAATACGCGCGATTACCTATATAAATAGATAAATTAATAAAAAACGCCCTCGATATCTTACTTCGGAGTAGCGAGCGTCCCTTCGCGAATATCTAGAATATATTAAGGCTGAGCAGTAAATAAAGAAATAAAACGAAGAGTATAAATACGATCCTAATATAGTGAAATAATTATAGTTAGAGAAATTAACACGCAAAACCTTTAATATATTTAGTTAGTTAGAAAGAGTACTAAAATAAAAGGTCTACTATAAATTCGACTATAAATAGACTATAATAGATATTAAACGATAGCTTTTAGGGGCTACTATTAATAATAAAAAGATAAAGAAGATACTTTAAATAGAAGACTAGATACTACTAGAGTAGATTAATCTTCTTAAGAACTTATTTATATAATCTATCTCTTAATCCCTAGAAATAGAATAGTAAAAAAAGAACGCTACTATAGCTACGATCTCCTAATACTATTATTTCCTTAAAGATAGCCTATTATATAGGTAATATAAATAAGTAGTACTAAATAATAGGTTCAACAAAGAATAGATTAATATAATACTAAAGCTAGCTAAGAAGAGTTATAGTTCTCCGGAGCCTTTATAGTATAGTATTTTTCTTATAAAAGCCGGAAATTATATTAGAAAGGTTAAGAAGCCCTAATAATATTTTTAATATTATAATAATACCGGATTTCCTATTTATCGTAGAATATAGAAATATAGTAAATATAAGTTAACCCTATAATACTTTTAAGAGAAATACTTATAAGATCGAAGGTATTATATATATAATAAAGATCTACTCTATAAGATATATTTTTATAGATATATAGAAGAAATTTATCGCCTTAGTACTTAACGGAATTACTATATTAAAGAAGATATAGGATCTAATATTAATACTAATTAATTAGGAGGTTTATAGGGTTTATACTAAATTAAAGAAATCTTATTTATTTTATTTAAGAATAATTAACCTTTAATATTTATTATATTTTTTATAATAATAATCTAGTTTCTATATTTATTAATAGTTAATTACGAC